AGTGCAATGGCGCGATCTCAGCTCACTGAGCCTCCCGCCTCCTGGGTTCAAGCAATTGTCCTGCCTCAGCCTCCCGACAAAACTTAGCAGGGTGAGGTGGCATGTGCCTGTAATTTCAGCTACTCAGGAGACTGAGGCAGGAGAATTGCTTGAACCCGGAAGGCGGGGAGGTTGCGGTGAGCCGAGATGATGCCATTGCAGTCCAGCCTGGGCGACAGAGTGAGACTCCATCTCAATTAAAAAAAAAAAAAAAATTCTGGGCTGCTGGCTGAGCCTGGTCAAGGAGTGAGTTCTCACCAGTGCCCCCAAGAGGGGCCCAAGGTCACCTTCCTGGGCAGCCCTAAGGGGTGGTGGGAGGCGGGAGAGTGGTTTGCGGCTGCACATTCTCGCAGTGTTTGAAAAAGGAAGTACCACTCGGTAGTAAAATGTGAGTTCCAGACGTACTTGGGGTACACATTCTATTTCAACAAACTACTTTCTCCTGCTCATTCCCTGTGCTTACAAAGTATTTCTCCAGATGACAACCCCTTGTGCGCGCGGCTAGCTGGGGAAGGCGAGGGGTGAAACAGCTGTGCGGTGCAGTCCAACAGCCCAGTCACACGTGACGATTCTAATTTACATTAGTTAAAATGAAGTAAAGTCAGAAATTCAGCATTTGCACTAGCCAGACGAGAGCACTGCCTACCATACCGGGCCGTGCGGACTTCATCCATCCTGACAGTTCCATCAAACAGTGCTGATCCGGGGACCCACGCTGGGGCGCCAATGGTCCTCTTTAGCTGGGATACACCCGAGATGCCCACCCAACTTCACAATGCACTCCAGGCACGGCCCTCTCCCGGGCTCAAGCACCCTGGAGCCTCCCTTGCTGGCTCTGGGAACGAGATTAGACACAGCCCCCCCGCCCCCCGCCAACAGTCGCATCTGCCCACCACTCACCACCACCTGCTTCATTTCCATTAAGAGCCTTCATGGGGCCCCAGTAACTAATTACCATGAACTTGGTAGCTTAAAACAACACAAATGGGCCAGGCACAGTGGCTCATGCCAGTACTTTGGGAGGCCGAGATGGGCAGATCACCTGAGGTCAGGAGCTTGAGACCAGCCTGGCTAACATGGTGAAACCCCGTCTCTACTAAAAATACAAAACTTACCTGGGTGTGGTGGTGCGTGCCTGTAATCCCAGCTACTCAGGAGGCTGAGGCAGGACTGCTTGAAACTGAGGGCAGAGGTTGCAGAGAGCTGAGCTCACATCACTGCACTCCAGCCTGGGTGACAGAGTGACACTCTGTCTCAAACAACAAAAAAGCAAAAAAACAAAAAACACGAAAACAGAAAAAACCCACCCAAACGTATTATCTTACATCCGGAGGTGTCAGGAGTCGAAAAGCGGGGGACCCGACTGTGTTCCACCTGGAGGATCCGGGGAGAATCCATCCTTGCCTTTTTCAGTTTCTAGGGGTGTCTGCTTACCTTGGCTTCTGGCCCTGCACCCCTCCAGCCTCTGCTTCCACTGCCACATCTCCTGTCTGACTCTGACCCGCCTGCCTCCCTCTCGTAAAGACGCTGGCGATCGCTTTGGGTCCACCAGAGAACCCAGGATAATCCTCCATCCCAAGATCCTTGGCTTCATCATTTCTGCAAAGTCCCTTCTGCTGTGCAAGGTGACCTAATTACAGGTTCTGAGAATGAGGGCCTGGAATTCACTGGGGGCCGTGATTCTGCCTCCCACCCTGCCCTCCCTGAGCTCCACCACTCCTGGCCAAGAGAGAAACAGGCAGGTCCCCAGGGCCGAATCCACCTCCCTGTAACCCTAGGAATGGCTTTGCCCACGTGGCTCAGGAAGGACGGGTAAACAGTGTACCTGCTCCCCTGGCCCAGATGCTGCCAGAGCCGCCTCAGTTCTCAAAACCTTTCAAAATGTTTCAAAATCTACCCTGAATGGCCGAAGTGGGCAGATCATTTGAGGTCAGGATTTCGAGACAAGCCTGGCCAACATGGTGAAACCCCATCTCTACTGAAAATACAAAAATTAGCTGGGCGTCATGCTGGGCACCTGTAATCCAAGCTAATTGGGAGGCTGAGGCAGGAGAACTGCTTGAACCTGGGAGGGAGAGGTTGTAGTGAGCTGAGATCTTACCACTGCACTCCAGCCTGGGCCTTAAGAATCATTGGACTTTAAAGAAACCAAATCACAGGCCGGGCACGGTGGCTCACGCCTGTAATCCCAACACTTTGGGAAGCCAAGGAAAATGGATTACCTGAGGTCAGGACTTCGAAACCAGCCTGGCCAACAAGGTGAAACCCTATCTCTACCAAAAATACAAAAATTAGCTGAGCGTGATGGTGGGTGCCTGTAATCCCAGCTAATTGGGACGCTGAGGCAGGAGAATAACTTGAACCTGGGAGGGGGAGGTTGTAGTGAGCCAAGATCGCACCACTGCAGCCTTAGAGCCCTTCACCACCAGGTGGGCCTTAAGAATCATCAGACTTCAGGCCGGGCGCAGAGGCTCGCACTGTAATCCCAGCACTTTTGGAGGCCGAGGTGGGCAGATCACGAGGTCAGGAGATTGAGACCATCCTGGCCAACATGGTGAAACCCCATCTCTACTAAAATAAAAAAAAATTAGCTGGGTGTGGTGGAATGCACCTGTAGTCCCAGGTTCTCGGGAGGCTGAGACAGGAGAACCACTTGGATCCAGGAGGCAGAGGTTGCAGTGAGCCTAGATCGTGCCATTGCACTCCAGCCTGGCAACAGAGCAAGTCTCAGTCCCAAAAAGTTAAAAAAAAAAATCATCAGACTTTAAAGAAACCAAATCACATGGGAGTTTCTAACGAGAAATGACTGATGAACGCACATGGAAGTGAGTGCCTTGCTTTCCAGGACCCGGGACCATATCTCTGGGCCTGGTTTCCCTGAACTTCGTATACTTCCAACCCAGTGGCTGTAGGAGGGAACGTCTCCCCACTGCCATCATTCCTGGTGGCTCGCTGCCTGGCCAGTCACCAGGGTAGGGGACTCCAGGAGGGACAGGGAGCTCACCAGCAACTGGGGGAGCGGTCAGAGAAACTCACAGTGGGAGTCTGCTCAGAACAGGGTTGCCATGAGGGAGAACTGTGTGAGTCCAGAGCATCAGGGAAGGCTTCTCAGAAGAGGAGGTACTACTGAGATGAGTCATAAAATGTGGATGAAGCTGCCTGATAAAATGGGGGAAGGACAGGGGGTGCAGAATGATTTACAAGGAATTTTAAAAGACTGCATAACAGGCGGGGCACGGTGGCTCGTGCCTGTGACCCCAGGTCTTTGGGAGGCTGAGGTGGGAGGATTGCTTGAGGTCAGGAGTCTGAGACCAGCCGGGCAACATGGCCAAACCCTGTCTCTACTGAAAATACAAAAAAATTAGCCCAGCATGGTGGTGTGCCTGTAGACCCAGCTACTTGGGAGGCTGAGGCAGGAGAATAGCTTGAACCCAGGAAGCAGAGGTTGCAGTGAGCTGAGATGGGGCTACTGTACTCCAGCCTGGGCAGCAGAGCAAGATCCTGTCCCCGCCACCCCCCGCCAAAAACACTGTATAACAGAAATAAGGAAACAAGCTGAGAGAAGAGGTGAGTTCAAGGTTGTGGGAAGTAGAAATGTTCCTTTTTTTTTTTTTTTTTGAGTTGGAGTTTTGCTCTTGTTACCCAGGCTGGAGTGCAATGGCGCGATCTCGGGTCACCGCAACCTCCACCTCCTGGGTTCAAGCAATTCTCCTGCCTCAGCCTCCTGAGTAGCTGGGATTACAGGCACGCGCCACCATGCCCAGCTAATTTTTTTTGTATTTTTAGTAGAGACGGGGTTTCACCATGTTGACCAGGATGGTCTCGATCTCCTGACCTCATGATCCACCCGCCTTGGCCTCCCAAAGTGCTGGGATTACAGGCTTGAGCCACCGCACCCGGCAGAAATGTTCCTTTTTAAAGTTTCCTTTCTTGTTAGAGAATAATTGTGCTAATAACTCTGTGAAGCCCTATCCTCTGTAGCTGTGAGACACGCCATGCTTACAGGCATGTAGCACATTCTATGTCCTTGTACTTTAACCAAGATATCTGTACTGGACGTGCTCACGGGAATGTCCCAGCTCTGCACTGCTTTTACCTGTTTAGAAAAGTTTTAAGTTGTCAGGCAATCGGGTTTTAGTTTAGATTGTGAGGTCTGGCTCCAGCCAACGGAGATCAGACACAGCGGTAAGGACGACCCCAGATGCGTAAGGAATAAAATTACGTTTTCATTTGTTCACTGTACTCTCGTGGCAAGATGGCTAGTGAGGGTCCCCTTCCTGCGGCCCAGGAAGTAAAAATTGCATTTCTGAAAGATCCTTTGTCTCAGTGCTGATTTTTCTTTGTGGCACCGAACATCTATTTCCAACAAAGGTCATGTGGCTGATAAAGGACAGGTTATGCCGTGGTGACAATGACCCTATATCTCAGCGGCTGGGCCCAGCACAAGCCTGTCTTCACTATGCCTGTGTCCAGCCTGGGTGTTAGCAGAGTGCACAGTGATGCGGGGATCAGGGACGCAGAGTGACGAGGCACCGTCTCCACCTGACCCGGGCCTGTCCATCACCACCAGAGGCCGCTGCCCACTGGCTCGGGAAGATTTGTCCCAGCACGACATGCCCCACACCCACACCCACACCCACACAAGCACATCCCACGACCATGCCCTCCCTGAAGGTGGTGGGAGGTGTCCCACTGTGTACCTGGAGCACAGAGAGCAGCAGTGACGGAAGCTGGGGTGGGAACCTCAGGGATCCCCAGCCACTACCCACTCCCGGTCGTCCCCACCAGGCACAGAGCAGCGAGCGTGCGGCCTCAGTTGCAAGCTCAGGCTCTATCTTTCACACAGGGTTAAGCTTGGCTGCTGGAAGCAAAGGTCTGGGGAAAAGGTCTCTAGACCCCAAAGCGCCCATAGTTCCCAGGGGCCCCCGGCATAGGAGCAAACACATCCCCGGCTCACTTACTATTGCAGACTGACGCCAAACTGCTGGGTGGGCAGCGGGGGCCGCGGCGGCGGTGTCTTGGTGGAAGGTGGCGGCCGGCCCTCGTGCAGGCTCTGGAGCTTCTCATCGTACCTGCAGACACAACAGAGGCTGGGCTCTCACCTGGCAGGGACAGCTGGCAGCCATGGAGGTGCTGGGTGGGGCTCTGGATGCCCCACAAACATCTGCAGGACACCTGGGCGTTACATCCCTCTAGGCACACATGCCACACCACCAGCTCGCTCACACACACACACGCGCACACAGTCACCATCCCCCATTGCTGTGGTCATTCTCACAGACACAGTAGCCCAACCCCCAGCAAATGCCCAGTCTCTCCTTCAACCCCTGGCCAGCAGCCCTACCCCAACCAGCAGAGCAGCCTCACCTGCTTGCCAGGCGGTCAGTCCTAAGGTGGGCGTGACCACCCTCAGCTCTCCAGAATGTCTGAATTTAAGACAAGAGCTGGCTTATAATGCTAATGGGACCCCTTTTGTTAATCACTTTATCCCCAGTGCTGCATATTAGATCTCAATTTAAATATTTATTGAATGCCCAAACAAACCCATGAATGAACACATGGACTCTGAAGGAGGTGGTTAAAGCCTTCAGGTGAAAAGAGCCTCTGTGCTGGGCGCGGTGGCTCACGCCTGTTATCCTACCACTTTGGGAGGCCAAGACAAGTAGATCACTTGAGGTCAGGAGTTCGAGATCAGCCTAGAGACATGGGAAAATCCTGTCTCTACCCAAAATACAAAAATTAGCTGGGTGTGGTGGTGGTGCACGCCTGTAATCCCAGCTACTTGGGAGGCTGAGGTGGGAGAATCACTGGAACCCGGGAGGCTGAGGTTGCGGTGAGCCAAGATCTCGCCACTGCACTTCGGTCTGGACAACAGAGGCTCCATCTCAAAAAAAAAAAGCCGCAGGTAACAGTCCTTCCTTAACACAGGCAAATATGTATTGAGATCCTACTATGTGCTGGGCACTGTGCATACAGCAGTGACCCCGCCACAGGATGGGGAGTACACGAGCCTTAGCCAGCAGCTTGGGAGTCAACACGGTGCAGGCACATGACCCAGAGGCACCCAACACATCAGACGGGCGAACCGAGTCAGGGAAGGTCTGTGGAGACGGCAGTGTGCTGGGCTGAGCCTGGCCAGCCAAGCAGGTGTGAGCCGCTCCCACGGACAGCTGTTCTTTGTGAGTTCATCACAGTGCTCTGTGCCCAGGTGGCTCCCGAGAGATGTCTCCGTCCCTCACGAAGAGCCTACCGTGGAGAGGTTATTTTGTCTACTTTACAGATTGGGAAACTGAGGCTTGTCCAGGTCTGGTGACATGCCCTAGGTCACAAGCTGGGACAACAGCCAGGATTCAGGACCCCAAGGCCCTGCCCTGCTGCTAAGAAAATGGGTCTCAGCTTCCGGTCCTCACAGCACCACCAGGGAGTGTGTGGGGGTGGATAAAATCCAGACTTAGACCCCCCGCCCCAGGCTAGTAAATGCTCCATTAAAAGCGTCAGGCTTGGACACATCCTCTGGGGGTCTGCGGCGTGGCTATGGAACAGTGTGCTGGCTGCCCAGTAAGTTCAGGAGCTCCCAGGGCCCAAGCCCACACCCCTCTCCCACTGTCCCCTTCTGCCTCACAGGACCCTGCACCCTCAGTGCTGCACATTCCAGAGGCCCTAGACTGCACCCAGCAGCCCCTGAGAAGCCAGAGCTGGGCGTTTCAGATGCCATCCGTTTGTCCCCAAATTGCTCTCCCTCGCAGGAGGATGTGAAGTTACCCTTTGTCACGGACAAATCACTTCCACCACAGAGCTGCTCACAATACATCTTCTGAGCCGTGTCCATGGACTCCCCCAGGTCACTCTAGTGAGGTCTGGGAGTCAGGTCTTGCCAAGGCCCGTGGCAGAGCAGGGATTCCCATCATCCTCCCATGAGCTCCGGCTCCAGTTCATTCTCCTCTGCTTGGCACCAAGGACTCCCAGCCCACCAACTCCAGCTTGATCATGTGGGTCTTCCGGCTGCCTCCAAATATCCCAGTATTTCACCCACACGTTTGCAGAAGGGCTTCCCTCTGCTGGAAATAGGCTTCCCGGCCCCTTGAGCTACCCAACTGTCCCTCTGAAACTCTAACAGCCACTTCTGAGCTGGGCGTGGTGGCTCACGCCTGTAATCCCAGCACATTGGGAGGCCAAGGCGGGTAGATTACCTGAGCTCAGGAGTTCGAGATCAGCCTGGGCAACACAATGAAAACCCATCTCTACTAAAATACAAAAAATTCAGCCGGGCGTAGCAGTGTGCACCTGTAGTCCCAGCTACTTGGGAGGCTGAGGCAGGAGAGCTGCTAGAACCTGGGAGGTGGAGGTTGTGGTGAGCCAAGATTGCGCCACTGCACTCTAGTCTGGGCAACAGAGCAAGACTCTGTCTCTGGGGAGAGAAAGAAAAAAAAAGCCACCTCTGGGTCAGGCTCTTGCCTGTAATCCCAGCACTTTTAAGAGGCCAAGGTGGGAGGATCACCTGAGGTTGGGAGTTTGAGACCAGCCTGGCCAACATGGAGAAACCCTGTCTCTACTCAAAATACAAAAATTGGCCAGGCATGGTGGCATATGCCTGTAGTCCCAGCTAATCAGGAGGTTGAGGCAGGAGAATCGCTTGAACCTGGGAGGCAGAGGTAGCGGTAAGCCAAGATTGTATTACTGCACCCCAGCCTGGGCAACAAGAGCAAAACTCCGTCTCAAAAAAAAAAAAAGTCACCTCCTCCTGAAAGTCTTCCTGGATTCCCCCTCACACACACCAGTCCCTTCCCCAGCTGGGTTCAGTGCCTCCTCTGGCCCTTGTCATGACTTATTTGTGGTCCTTATTAGCTTGAGAATGTCATGAGAGCAGGGACCATACCTCCTAAACATCTCTACATCCCAGTACCTGGCATGTGACTTGGCTTTTATCTCCACTACCCCTGCAAGGCAACCAGCTTCACCTGCATGCACTCTGGCAAGGGGCCTACTCCTTCAAAGGAGCTCCTCAGAGAGGGAGACTTAAGGGGCAGAGGGAACCCAGGCTGGGGGTCCAGAGACCCGGGCTGGATCTGGCCCCGTGCTGCACTGGTAGGGTGGCACGCACCTTCCTGGGTAGCCTCTACTCATCTGGTCCGACATTTAAGCCTCGTAGCAGACAAACCAATTAAGCTTCTAGCATCCAGCAGACAGGTCCCTTTCCAGCGCACCTGTCACGTCCCTGAGAACATTTTATTCTATACCCAGCGTTATTCACACGCCTGGGAAATTCCCCTAATTTTCTGCTCAAAAGCAAAACACGGTAAACACCAAGGCAACAAACAGCAGCTGCCACACCGGGGCTTATTTTTTAAGTCAATCTTGCAGCGGTGGGCGAGGAGAAACACCCCTTCCTGTGTACGGCCTCTCCAGTTTCATTTCTCTGAGTCAGCAGTTAGCACCTTGGCCGAGTATCTCTGCCGACGCCGCAGATTTCCGAGCCAAGTCTAGCCAAGCACGCGTTTGGAAATGAAGCCCTCGACGTCCGTGGGATCGAACCAAGACCTTTGGAAGCACAAAGATGTATTTCTGTGGCCTCTGGGGGCTAACGGGCACTCACCGCAGAACCTCGGGCGGGACGATCAGCTGATCGTATTTCAGGTGTTCACGGAGCTCACTCAGGTTGTTGAAATAGGTGACTTTTTTCCCAAACTTGTGGCTAAGAAAGCAGAAGCAAGAGAATAAAAACGATCAGGCGCCAGCAGAGAGGCCGGGTGCTGCAGGGAGGCAGCGGAACTTGGCAGCAGAACAAGGCTGGCATTTTTCATATTAAGAAAATGTAAACGCTGACACCACTTAAAACCCGAACATAACAGGAGCAGCGCACGCCGGGAGATGCTTTGCTTTCATGAGATCGCCACTGCACTCAACACTCTGGAGAGGCTCATCTGCATAAAAATAAATATCTGCCTCCAATTTAAATCTGCCCTGAATTTGCAGACATAGCAGATAGCGTGGAAGCGCCAAGGAGCCCTTTTGGGGGACGCAGGCTGGGCGGGGGCAGGAAGCCACTGGCATAGAGAGAAGTTCTCAGGGTGGAGCCTGCCTCAGGGTAGCCCCAGCCACTGGTGGTTTTGGGGTCAGTGGAAGCCTCACATTCAGCCACCTCTTCTAAGGACAGGGACCAACAAGGGTCTCCAGGATAGGGTCTCTGAGACCCCAGGGAACAGCGCAGCCACAAGGCCTGGCCACGTGCAGCCACTCCATCGTCTCCCTCCCCTTGTGCCCCAGGAGAATTCACTCCTTCTCAGGGCCTGGATCTGAAAGTGGGGGTTCTCCCACCGAAGCGAGGGCGGAAGATAATGCAAGACTACATGCACGTCTGGTCCACTGCCCAACACCCGGTGGACACGCTCGCTGTGATGATTCCTATCGGCAACAAGGCTCAGCATGAATTGCAGCGAGGATCACTGACAGGAAGTGAGCACACCTTTAAACAGGAGCCTGCAATCCTCATGCTATGACAGTCTAGGTGTGGTTTTTGCCATAAATATATGATTCATGTTTTAGTTTGTAGGACAGTATTATTTCCTTACTGTATATCTTTAAGAGATACAACTTTTTTTTCCCCCGAGATGGAGTCTCACTCTGTTGCTTAGGCTAGAGTAGAGTGGCACGATCTTGGCTCACTGCATCCTCTGCCTCCCAGGTTTAAGTGATTCTCCTGCCTCAGCCTCCCAAGTAGCTGGGATTATAGGCGCACACCACCACACCCAGCTAAATTCTGAATTTTTAGTAGAGACGAGGTTTTGCCATGTTGGCCAGGCTGGTCTTGAACTCTTGACCTTGTGATCCGCCACCGCACCCAGCCAAGATATACAACTATCAATGTGGGTAAAGAATCGTATCGTTACCAGAAAAGGGAAGTTACGTATTCTGCCAAACCGAAGATATTTTGTCATTTTTATGACAATTTGAAAGCCTTGAAGTAAGTTTTCACATATTTTCAATGTTGTTTAGTCTGTGAAATAAAAATAATTCAAGTCACCGTTGCAAAAACAAAAAATACAGAGATCATGGGCTGGAGGTGGTGGCTCACTGTAATCCCAGCACTTTGGGAGGCTGAGGTGGAAGGATCACGAGGTCAGGAGTTCCAGACCAGCCTGGCCAACACGGCGAAACTCCATCTCTACTAAAAATACAAAAATTAGCTGGGCGTGGTGGCGCACGCCTGTAATCCCAGCTACTCAGGAGGCTGAGGTAGGAGAATCGCTTGAACCCGTGAGGCAGAAGTTGCAGTGGACCAAGATCACACCACTGCACTCCAGCCTGGGCAACAGAGCGACTCTGTCTCAAAAAACACAACCAGGGGCCAGGCGCGGTGGCTCACGCCTGTAATCCTAGCATTTTGGGAGGCCGAGGTGGGTGGATCACCTGAGGTCAGGAGTTCAAGACCAGCCTGGCCATCATGGTGAAACCCCATCTTTAGAAAAAAAACAAAAAAACAACCAAACAAAAAAAACCCGGAGATCACGGCAGGTAGGAGGGACAGCCGCAGCCCAGCGCTCAGCCCAGCCCCAACGCCAGGTGGCTCCTAAAGGGAGACCCAAGGGAGGCTAAACTGTGCACACTGGCTCCCCCTAGTGGACGAGGGAGAATCGAACCCAGGTGCCGGTACCCCTCAGCCACCTGTGGGGCGTTGGGGGGACTTTTGCCAGGTTTCTGCGTTTAAGGACGCAAGGAACCCGAGCTAAAGGCTGGGGCTGCAGAATAGCCACCAATGTGCAGTGTGCCCTTCACCCCAAGGACGAGGAGAGGGAGGAAGTGGGGCCTGCCTTCGTCCCTGCATCCCAGACTCTGTGGAGTGTCCTCGCTGACTGCCCACTTAGACTCCACAGGACTGGGGTACAGTCTGACACTCTGTCCGAAGGATGCTGGAGGGTCTCCGCAGGGCTGTGAAGTGCTTTCAATGGCCTTCGTGATAGATGGGAGGAACCCACTAAGGGCAAAGGGAGTCTTGCCCCTCTGCAGGAACTGTTCGTGGGATATTCACGGTGACAGAGGTGCCAGCTTCAGAGCTGCAGGGAGGCCTCCTGTGCCCAGCCCCTCACCTTGCTCCCTGCGGCCTCCCTGACCCCTCCTGCAGGTCAGGCTCTGCCAAATGTGGACTCTGGGGGCAGGCGCAGACAGGACCCTGCCACTTGCCTCTCGCTCCGGGAAAGGATCCCCAGGACAGCTCAGCCAGGTGCTCCCAATACAGCGTGCGTGAGGTGGAATCACTGGGGTGCTTGTTAGAGCTGCAGCCGCAGGTACCACCTGCAGGGGTCTGCGTCAGGAGAGCTGGGTAAGACCCAGGGCTCTCCTGTGTGTGGGCGTTTGAGAGCCTTGGAGCTCCTCCAAATGAGGTCTTGGGGCACAGAGAGGTTATGTGGCTTCCCCAGACCTCACAGGCAGCGGGCAGCAGAGTCCAATCCTGGCTCCAGAGCCCCAGTCCGGTTCCTGTGGTCCTCTCCCGGCAGGAATGAGGCAGGATGACGGGTAGAACCACACACAGGCTCAGGCTGGAGGATCCCAGCCACGCCCCTCCTCCGCGGGCGATCTCAGGTGTAACCTCGCTGAGCATCAACCATTTCAACCCTCTTTGAAATGGGGAAAATGTGGCTGACTTCACAGTGCAGTTTTGCGATGTCTGGCACATAAGCATACATGAGGTGCATACGATATTGTAATCAGATTAATCACAAAAGGGGAGTTTAAAAAGATTTTTTTTTTTTTGAGGCAGAATTTCGCTCTTGTCGCCAGGCTGGAATGCAATGGCGCCATCTCGGCTCACTGCAACGTCTGCCTCCCAGGTTCAAGCGATTCTCCTGCCTCAGCCTCTCAAGTAGCTGGGACTACAGGTGCACACCACCACACTCAGCTAATTTTTTGTATTTTTAGTAGAGACGGGGTTTTGCCAGGCTGGTCTTCAACTCCTGACCTCAGGTGATCCGCCCACCTCAGCCTCCCAAAGTGCTGGGGTTTCAGGCATGGGCCAACGTGCCTGGCCAGTTTAAAAAGATTTTAAAACAGGGGCAGGCGTGGTGGCTCACGCCGGTAATCCCAGCACTTTGGGAGGCCGAAGCTGGAGGATTGCTTGGGCTTAGGAATTGGAGACGAGCTTGGGTAACATAGCGAAACCCTGTCTCTACTAAAAATACAAAACGTAGCTGGGCACAGTGGCGTGCCTGCAGTCCCAGCTGCTCAGAAGGCTGAGGTGGGAGGATCAGCTGAGCCCAAGAAGTCGAGGCTGCAGTGAGCCGTGGTCGCACCACTGCACTCCAGCCTGGGTGATGGAGCCAGACCCTGTGAAGAAAAGAAAAAGAAAAGGACAAAAGGAAGACAAACACTTTACGGTGTCAAGTCAGTGAATTATTGTGACAATGGAATGACTTAAGTAGCCTTGTCAGCCACATGGGGAAACTGAGGCAGCAAGGGGTTGCCTCTCTTGCTGAGAGTAATGGATGGCGAGGGCAGAGGAGTCGAGGCCAGGCAGCCTGGCGCCATCACCACCACACTATCCAGCTGCCACGTGGAAACAGGAGGAGCAGGCGAACTTTTTTTTTTTCTTTTGAGACAGAGTCCTGCTCTTGTTGCCCAGGCTGGAGTGCAATGGTGCAATCTTGTCTCACTGCAACCTCTGCCTCCTGGATTCAAGCGATTCTCCTGCCTCAGCCCCCCAAGTTGGGATTACAGGCGCCTGACACCACACCTGGCTAATTTTCCTATTTTTAGTAGAGATGAGGTTTCATCACGTTGGTCAGGCTGGTCTCGAACTCATGAACTCAAGTGATCCCCCTCATCTCGGCCTCCCAAAGTGCTGGGATTACAGGCACGAGCCACCGCACGTGGTCAATCAGGTGAACTTTTTTTCCCAAGAACTTGAGAGGTTTCTAGAACTCTAAGAACAACAAAATCTCACTCTGTCACCCAGGCTGGAGTGCAGTGGCACCATCTCAGCTCACTGCAATCTCTGCCTCTTGAACTCAAGCAATCCTCCCGCCTCAGCCTCCCGAGTAGCTGGGACTAAAGTGTGCGCCACCACGCCTGGTTGGTTCTCATATGTTTTGTAGAGATGGGGTTCTGCCATGTTACCTAGGCAGGTCTCAAACTCCTGGGCTCCAGTGATCCACCTGCCTCGGCCTCCCAAAGTGTTGGGAAGACAGGAGACAGCCACCATGCCTGGCCCTCTGAGGACTTTTCTAAGGTAAGTGACTGGACTAGCTTCTTTGCTATGTCAAATATGTCACATGTCACATAGGGCGCAAGGATGCTGGGCCTGGTTAAACAGAAGCAAGGCTGGGCGCGGTGGCTCACGCCTGTAATCCCAGTACTTTGGGAGGCCGAGGCAGGTGGTCAGGATCATGAGGTCAGAGTTCGAGACCAGCCTGTCCAATATGATGAAACCCCATTTCTACTAAAAAATACAAAAGTTAGATGGGCATGATGGCGCATGCCTGTAGTCCCAGCTACTCAGGAGGCTGAGGCAGGAGAATCGCTTGAACTTGGAAGGGAGAGGCTGCAGTGAGCTGAGATGGCGCCATTGCACTCCAGCCTGGGCAACAGAGTGACATTCTGTCTAAAACAAACTAACACAAACAAAATCTCACCTTCCAGTAGGGGAATATGTGCAGCACAGGCAGTAGATGAGAAAAACTGACAGGAAATTCTAGTGACATAACAGGAGCTCTCTGACCACAAACTCTCCCTATATAACCAGGAGCTGACTGGAGTCTGCTGCTCTGGGAATTCTCCCAGTGTGTCTCAGGGCCACACCGTTGAGTCCCTGGAATGACAGTGTGGGCAGCTGGAAAGAAAAGAAAGGCTCCAAGCTGCCTGGCAGAGCAGCTCTCTCTTTTTGTTTTGAGACAGGGTCTTGCTCCATTGCCCAGGCTGAAACGCAATGGCACAAACACAGTTCACTGCAGCCTTGAACTCCTGGGCCCAAGCAATCCTCCTGCTTCAGTCTCCCATGTAGCCGGAACCACAGGCACATGCTACCACATCTGGCTAATTTTTAAATTTTTTTTGAGACAGAGTTTCGCTCTTGTTGCCCAGGCTGGAGTGCAATGGCGCGATCTCAGCTCACTGCAACCTCCACCTCCCAGGTTCAAGCAATTCTCCTGCCTCAGCCTCCCGAGTAGCTGGGATTACAGGCACGCGCCACCATGCCCAGCTAATTTTTTGTATTTTTAGTAGAGACGGGGTTTCACCATGTTGACCAGGATGGTCTCGATCTCTTGACCTCGTGATCCACCCGCCTCGGCCTCCCAAAGTGCTGGGATTACAGGCGTGAGCCACTGCGCCCGGCCTAAATTTTTTTTTTTTTTTTTGAGACTTAGTCTCACACTGTTGCCAGGCTGGAGTGCAGTGGCGTGACCTCAGCTCACTGCAACCTCCACCTCCCGGGTTCAAGCAATTCTCCTGCCTCAGCCTCCTGAGTAGCTGGGATTACAGGTGTGCACCACCATGGCCAGATAATTATTATATTTTTAGTAGAGACGGAGTTTCACCATGTTGGCCAGGCTGGTCTTGAACTCCTGACCTCATGATCCACCCCCGCCCCCCCCAGCCTCCCAGAATGCTGGAATTACAGGTGTAAGCCACTGCACCTGGCCTGTTTTAAATTTTTTATAGAGATGGGGCTCACTCTCTTGCCCAGGTCAAACCCCTGGGCTCAAGTGATCCTCCTGCCTTGGCCCCTCCAAGCGTCAGGATTACTGGCACGGGCTACTACGCCAGGCATGGTAAGGGACAAAGGGACACTGGACGAGAGTGGGATGGGGCAGAGTAGCCTTGGGGCGGCAGCTGGCTGGTGGGGAGACAGGCAGGTGCCTTAGAGCCCGAGCTGTCCATGCTCCTGGGGGACTGAAATGCTTCTCAGGGATCGATGGGGAAATGGGAAGGAGACAGTGTGGACTCCGAGGTCCCAGCTGGCATTCCAGCTCTGTCCGAGTCCTTGCTGTACAGGGAGCAGCACGCCCACGTGCACAGAGGCTGTGGGATAAGGAAGAGACCCTTGCCAGCAGTAGCCTCAGAGCCACGTGGGTGGGCTTCAGCAGGTGGAAGGAGCTGAGGGGGGAGATGGCAAAGGCTTGTGAGACGGGAACATCAGGCCGGGCACAGTGGGTCACACCTGTAATCCCAGCACTTTGGGAGGCTGAGGGGGGTGGATCACAAGGTCAGGAATTCGAGACCAGCCTGGCCAACATGGTGAAACACCGTCTCTACTAGAAGTACAAAAAAAATTAGTTGGGCATGGTGGCACGCGCCTGTAGTCCCAGCTACTCGGGAGGCTGAGGCAGAAGAATTGCTTGAACCCGGGAGGTGGAGGTTGCGGTGAGCTGAGGTCACGTCACTGCACTCCAGCCTGGGCGGCAGAGTGAGATCCCGTCCCAAAAAAACAAAAAAGAGATTGGAAAATCTGGGGAAGAATGAAGATCCCTCCAGGGATGTGCCTCCCTGTGCTCACATGCTACCACATCTGGCTACTTTTTAAATTTTCTTTTTGAGACTTAGTCTCACACTGTCGCCCAGGCTGGGGTGCAATGGCACGATCGGCTCACCGTAACCTCCGCCTCCTGGGTTCAAGCAATTCTCCTGCCTCAGCCTCCCGAGGTGCTGGGACTACAGGCGCGCACCACCATGGCCAGCTAATTTTTACATTTTTAGTAGAGACGGGGTTTCACCATGTTGGCCAGGCTGGTCTCCAACTCCTGGCCTTGTGATCCATCCACCAAATGCTTCTTCCTAGGGAGGCCCTCCAGGAGTCCTCCCACCCCTCTCACAGAGGCAACGACCTCACCTGAGTATCCCGACCCACCTCATGCACACCTGGGTCCCCCTGCACTGAGCCCCTCCCTCACCTGCAGAACTCACCCAGGCGGGGCCGGGGCCGGGGCCAGCACACAGGAACGATGTCTGTCAGTCTCTTCCCCATCCCACCCCCGTCATAGGGCTCTGTGCACACAGTTTGTGCCTGATGTATACAGCAAAAATGGAAGAAAGTAGAAGATGCCCACATGAGCCAGGCAGAGCCTCCCAGGCCTCACCAGCCGCTTGAGCTCTTGCTTCCCAATACTGAGGCAGAAATCATTCAGCCGGAATGAGTCTCAATATGGGAGAAGCTGATGGACATCGCCGCATGTATAGGCTGCGGCTGCCTCTCTTGGCTGCTCATTAGGGGTGCTATGCACTAAAGGCTTAATTCAGCAGGCTTGGGGTGTCCAAGCCCTGCACGCTCCAAAGAGAAGCCTGGCCGTGGGCGACCTGCTCTTGGATGGAAAGCTCTCAGCCCCTGGAAGTGTCTAGGTCTTCACACACCCGTGGCCTCGGGCCAACACCACAGAGCTTGCACCAACAATGTGATTAGGGGTGGGGGCCTTGGGCTGTGTTCGTCTCATCTCAGGAGGGGCTGGAGACCCAGTGACTGAGTCAGTCAGGTGGATGCTCCGTGCCTACATGACGGACGCATAATAAAAACCCGGGCACCAAGGCTGGGCGAGCTGCCCAGGCCAGCCAGGCTCCCTCCTCCATTACACACTCTTGCTGGGACAATCTCGTGTTGTCTGTATGACTCTGTATGCATCTGCCCAGAGAGGGCAGCCGGGAGCTGGGGCTTGGTCCTCCTGGACTCAGCCCCGTGTGGCTCTCACCTTTGCGGACTTAAATCTCTGCACAGACCACAGGAGTGAAGATAACAGAGTCCCTCTAGAAAATCACTGAACCTGACCAGACGCAGTGGCTCACGCCTGTAATCCCAGCACCTTGGGAGGCTGAAGCAGGTGGATTGTGAAGTCAGGATTTCGAGGCCAGCCTAGCCAAGATGATGAAACCCTGTTTCTACAAAAAACAAAAATTAGCCAGGCGTGGTGGCGGGTGCCTGTAGTCCCAGCTACTTGGGAGGCTGAGGCAGAAGAATCGCTTCAACCTGGGAGGCGGAGGCTGCAGTGAGCCGAGATCTAGCCATTGCACTCCAACCTGGACAACAAGAGTCTGTCTCAAAAAAAAAAAAAAAAAAGAACTCACTGAACCTGAGGGTGGTTCCACAGTGTGGGGGCTCAGGCCAAGGGGGGACTTTAAACACCAGGTGCAAACCCCACAGGTGTCACAGGCCAGAACTCCTGTCCATGACCGGGGCCGGCCTTGTGACCCACTGCAGACCCCCGGGCACCCTGGAGACGGGTCCTCTGTGGTGCATGGATAGGGAAGGCCACCTCATGGACACTGAGGCGGGAAACCGCCAACCCTAGCGGGGTCCTCTCCCAGAGCAACGCGTACCTGATGAGGGGCTTGAAGAGGTTCCACAGGACCTTGATGAAGCTGGTGGGGTGCACCACGTAGAGGGCCTTCAGGTTCTTCTTGTATCTGAGGAGGGAAATGGGGATGACTTCAGGCTGCCAGGCTCCGAGAGACACCCCAAGCCCAATAACCACAAAGCAGTGGCCTCCGCTGTGAGTCTCAGCATGTGACTTCTCTCAACAGGATGGACTTAGGGACATCCAACAGAGGAGGAAATAAACTTGGGGGAAATCAGGACCCACTGCCCCCACCAGGCACGCCTGCAGCACTGCCCAGTTTGCAGAGGCACGTGGGCAGGTCGGAGCCCTGTTTACAGGTGGGGTGGGGGTCTGGAGCACAACCTAGGGGCAATTTGGCAACAGCTCTCAGAATTAAAACGACACAGAGCCTGCCTCTCAGCCCATGCCTCCCCGGAAGCTGACCCGGGCTAGAAGGAGCTCACCATGTTGGTTATGATGGCAGAAAACCCAGCAATAGCCTAAACATGAGCCGGAGGCTGGTTCAATGAAACACAGCCTCACACACAACGGAACGCCAGGTTAGCTTCCCGCTCCCTCTTCCCAGTCTCCACGCTTCTTTCTTCAATCTTTCAGTCCAAAGCCATCAGGTTGGGCAAGAAAGGTCGGCAGCAGGTGGGGCGGGGACAGGGGCAGCTGACATGCCGGGACTCCAGAGGGCAAGTGGGAGATGGTGTGTCCTGCTGGTGAGACACAGCCCAGGAGGGAGGGAAGGGGCATCCACACGGCCGTGTGGGGTCAGCTGCAGGCCACCGAAGCCAGCTCTTACCCCCAGGCATGGGCTGATTGTCAAAATGTCAGGAATTTTTGGAAGCCAGTTGTGTAGAAGAGCCGTTGTTAATATGAAGTACTGTAAACTTACAATGAACACAAAGTTAATAAAAACTCAAAACTACCATTTCTCAATTCTGCTAGCCCTGTGACCCTGTACACCGAGGTTCTTCTCTTCTGTACCCGCATGGTAGACAATGGTGGTGACCACCCATCTCTTCCCAACTCTGTTCACATTGGTAGCATGAAACCGGCTAGGATGGCAGGATTTACGCCATGGAAACATGAAGATGATACTAGCCACCCTGCTAGGTGTGTGTAGTACCCTGTGGTGTGGGTATTGGTGTGAATGCATGACTCCCAACTGTGCAGATGGATATAAACATAAATCCTGATGGTGAGGTATGTGTGTGTGTGTTTATGTAGGTGTATGTAGATGTGTGTATGCATATGTGGGTGTAAGTGTACGTGTGTAGGGGTGTGTGTATATACATGTGTATGTGTATGACAGTGTGTGTAGGTGTATAAGTATGTGGTGTATGTAGGTGTGTGTAGGCATGTATAAGTGTATGTATGTGTAAGTATATGTAGATGTGTGTAGGTGTATGTGTGGTGTGTGTAGGTGTACGTAGGTGTGTGAAGGTGTAAGTGTAGGTGTATGTGTTCATAGGTGTATGTAGGTGTGTAGGTGTATGTGGTGTGTGTAGGTGTACGTAGGTGTGTGGAGGTGTAAGTGTAGGTATATGTGTTCATAAGTGTATGTAGGTGTGTAGGTGTGTAGGTGTATGTGGTGTATGTAGGTGTACGTAGGTGTATATAGGTGTAAGTGTAGGTGTAGGTATGTAGGTGTATGTGTGTGCAGGTGTATGTAGGCAAGTATAAGTGTATGTAGGTGTGCATGTGTGTAGGTGTATGTGTGTGGTATATGTAGGTGTGTGTGGTGTATGTAGGTGTGGAGGTGTAAGTGTAGGTGTATGTGTTCATAGGTGTGTGTATGTGTGTAGGTGTATGTGGTGTATGTAGGTGTACATAGGTGTATATACACGTGTATGTGTATGACAGTGTGTAGGTGTATAAGTATGTAGGTGTGTGTAGGCATGTATAAGTGTATGTATGTGTAAGTATATGTAGATGTGTGTAGGTATATGTGTGGTGTGTGTGGGTGTACGTAGGTGTGTGGAGGTGTAGGTGTAGGTGTATGTGTTCATAGGTGGGTGTAGGTGTGTAGGTGTATGTGTGTAGGTGTATGTAGGTGTACGTAGGTATATATAGGTGTGTGAAGGTGTAAGTGTAGGTGTATGTGTTCATAGGTGTATGTGTGTAGGTGTATGTGGTGTATGTAGGTGTACGTAGGTGTATATAGGTGTGTGAAGGTGTAAGTGTAGGTGTATGTGTTCATAGGTGTATGTAGGTGTGTAGGTGTATGTGGTGTATGTAGGTGTACATAGGTGTATATAGGTGTGTGAAGGTGTAAGTGTAGGTGTAGGTATGTAGGTGTATGTGTGTGCAGGTGTATGTAGGTGTGTGTAGGCAAGTATAAGTGTATGTAGGTGTAAGTATATGTAGGTGTGCATGTGTGTAGGTGTATGTGTGTGGTATATGTAGGTGTGTGTGGGTGTGTGTGGTGTATGTAGGTGTGGAGGTGTGTGTAGGTGTACATAGGTGTGTGGAGGTGTATGTAGGTGTGTGTAGGTGTACATAGGTGTGTGGAGGTGTAAGTGTAGGTGTATGTATGTGTATGTTCCTGGGTGTGTGTAGGTGTATGTAGGTGTGTAGATGTATGTGAATGTGTTTGTAGGTGTAGGTGTATGTGAATGTGTTCATAGGTGTGTGGAGGTGTAAGGTGTAGGTATGTGTAGGTGTATGTAGGTGTGTGTACGTGTATGTGTGTAGGCATATGTAAGTGTGGAGGTGTACGTAGGTGTGTGGAGGTGTAAGTGTAGGTGTATGTGTTCGTAGGTGTGTGTAGCTGTGTGTAGGTGTATGTAGGTGTGTGTGTGTGTTTGTAGGTGTACATAGGTGTGTAGGTGTACATAGGTGTTTAGGTGTGTGGAGGTATAAGTGTAGGTGTATGTATGTGTGTGTGTGTTCCTGGGTGTGTGTAGGTGTATGTAGGTGTGTAGATGTATGTGAATGTGTTCATAGGTGTGTGGAGGTGTAAGGTGTAGGTATGTGTAGGTGTATGTAGGTGTGTGTAGGTGTATGTGTGTAGGCATATGTAAGTGTGGAGGTGCACGTAGGTGTGTGGAGGTGTAAGTGTAGGTGTATGTGTTCGTAGGTGTGTGTAGCTGTGTGTGTAGGTGTACATAGGTGTGGAGGTGTGTGTAGGTTTAAGTGTAGGTGTATGTGTGTGTGTGTGTTCCTGGGTGTGTGTAGGTGTATGTAGGTGTGTAGATGTATGTGAATGTGTTCATAGGTGTGTGGAGGTGTAAGGTGTAGGTATGTGTAGGTGTATGTAGGTGTGTGTAGGTGTATGTGTGTAGGCATATGTAAGTGTGGAGGTGTACGTAGGTGTGTGGAGGTGTAAGTGTAGGTGTATGTGTTCATAGGTGTGTGTAGCTGTGTGTGTAGGTGTACATAGGTGTGTGGTGTAAATGTAGGTGTATGTGTATGTGTTCGTAGGTGTGTGGTGTATGTGTGTAGGTGTATGTAGGCATGTATAAGTGTGTGTAGGTATACGTAGGTGTGTGTAGGTGTAAGTGTAGGTGTATGTATATGTGTTCATAGGTGTGTAGGTCTGTGTATGTAGGTGTACATAGGTGTGTGGAGGTATAAGTGTAGGTGTATGTATGGTGTATGTAAGTGTGTGCAGGTGTACAGGTGTGTGTAGGCATGTATGTGTATGTAGGTGTAAGTATATGTAGGTGTGTAGGTGTATGGGTGGTACATGTAGGTTTGTGTGTGTGGTGGATGTAGGTGTAGGTGGATGTGTGTGGAGTGTAAGTGGTGTATGTATGTGTATGTGTTCGTAGGTGTGTGTAGGTGTACATAGGTGTGTGGAGGTGTAAGTGTAGGTGTATGGATGTGTTCGTAGGTGTGTGTACTTGTATGTAGGTGTACGTAGGTGTGTGTAGGCATGTATAAGTGTATGTAGGTGTACGTAGGTGTGTGGAGGTGTAAGTGTAGGTGTATGTATGTGTTCATAGGTGTGAAGGTGTGTGTACTTGTATGTAGGTGTACGTAGGTGTGTGGAGGTGTAAGTGTAGGTGTATGGATGTGTTCGTAGGTGTGTGTACTTGTATGTAGGTGTACGTAGGTGTGTGTAGGCATGTATAAGTGTGTTAGGTGTACGTAGGTGTGTGGAGGTGTAAGTGTAGGTGTATGTATGTGTTCATAGGTGTGTGTACTTGTATGTAGGTGTACGTAGGTGTGTGGAGGTGTAAGTGTAGGTGTATGTATGTGTTCATAGGTGTGTGTACTTGTATGTAGGTGTACGTAGGTGTGTGGAGGTGTAAGTGTAGGTGTATGTATGTGTTCATAGGTGTGTGTACTTGTATGTAGGTGTACGTAGGTGTGTGGAGGTGTAAGAGTAGGTGTATGTGTTCGTAGGTGTGTGTAGCTGTGTGTAGGTGTATGTAGGTGTGTGTGTGTTTGTAGGTGTACATAGGTGTGGAGGTGTGTGGAGGTGTAAGTGTAGGTGTATGGATGTGTTCATAGGTGTGAAGGTGTGTGTACTTGTATGTAGGTGTACGTAGGTGTGTGGAGGTGTAAGTGTAGGTGTATGTATGTGTTCATAGGTGTGTAGGTGTGTGTACTTGTACGTAGGTGTGTGGAGGTGTAAGTGTAGGTGTATGTGTATGTTTGTAGCTGTGTGGTGTATGTAGGTGTGTAGGTGTATGGAAGTGTGTGCAGGTGTATGTAGGTGTTTTCCTAGGTGTGTAGGTGTATGTATGTGTAGGTGTATGTAAGCGCCATGTGTATGCATGTGTATGTGTATGTAAGTGTATGTAGGTGTATTTGTATGTATGTATGTAGGTATAAGTGGTATGTGTGTGCATGTGTGTGTGCAGGTATATGTGTATGTAGGTTGTTTGCATGTGTGTGTATGTAGGGGTGTCTAAGTGTAGATGTAGGGGTGTGTGTGTAGGTCTAAGTGTATGTACGTGTCAGTGTACATAAGTGTATGTATGTGTACGTATACACACACATACCCCAACTCTCCACTGAAAGGGGCTGGGAGCCATAACACCCCAAAAGCAACAAGCACTCCTCTCGTCCAGATCGTGGCCTCTAAATAGCCTTCTCCACTACAGGGAGCCAGGGCTTCTGTGCTCCTTGGAGAGTGGCAGATTCCTCAGCAGGAGCAAGAAAAAACACACCCTGTGCCAGAAAGAAAAGAAAGTGTTCAAAAAGTGACAGGGAGTGCCAGAAGGAGCCAGGAGAGCTTAAAGGGGCACCTACACGGCAAATTTGGGACAATTTCATCATTAAAATGATGATAGTAATGGATTGCAACCCACTGAATAAAACAGGAAATTGTACACATGTCCATACTGAGATAAAGAAGCAAGGGGAAGAAAAAGCTCCTCCCTTGGTCAGATGCTGACTGGTCCTCAGACACCACTGGCTGCCACTGTAGACACAATTAAGCCAAGAAGCAGCAATGAAGGTAAAAACTATTTTGACAAGGGGCAGGATATTTATACAGTCTTAAAGCATCTCTCCAAGAAATGCTAATTTACTAATTTGTTTAAAACTCTGACAGGAGGGGCATGGGAGCGGTCACAGCAGCTTCCAGAGTCTCCAGGAGCCCCGAGGGCAGCGGCGGCAAAGTCCACCCTCAGACTGAGCGTCCAGTGGCTTTCATTAGCTGCCAACCGCGGCAGGAGCCCTTTGGTGAGGCAAGCACTCTCAGAAGGGAGGCCATGAACACTTGTGTGCAAATGCATTCACTCTTAAAAGGGATGACCTGGCAGGACAATCTGGAGGGTGAGAAGCCAGTGGCAGAAGGAACAGAAAAGAATTCGGGAAACCTGATGGGGTGTGGTGATGCAGACTGAAAACCCTCGCTGTAGAAATCTCAGCTGTTTTTTTTTTTTTTTTTTTTTTTTTGAGACAGTTTCACTCTGTTGCCCAGGATGGAGTGCAGTGGCATGATCTCAGCTCACTGCAACCTCCACCTCTCAGGTTCAAGGGATTCTCAGGTCTCAGCTACTCAAGTAGCTGGGATTACAGGCATGCACCATCACACCCAGCTAATTTTTTGTATTTTTAGTAGAGACGGGGTTTCACCATGTTGGCCAGGCTGGTCTTGAACTCCTGACCTCAAGTGATTTACCTGACTCGGCCTCCCAAAGTGCTGGGATTATAGGCAATCTTATCTGATTATATTTGGAGCACCACTTGCATACCTCTAGTGATAGGGAACTCACCACCCCTCAGGTGTCTGCTCAGGGACAGTGAGGCTGCAGGGGAGGGGCTATTGATTCTCCTAGGACAACCCAGGAAGGCTTCCTGGAGGAAGACATGAGCTTGGACTTGGTCATCTCCAGTTCATACAAGTGCCCAATAAATGACTGCAAAATGCAGCAACAATCCTTTCCCTAAGACACGGGCCAGGGAACCAAGAAGTCCTTCCAAAGGTCCTGCTGATAATGACAGCAGGACACAAAAGGCAACTGGAGGGAGGACTTCTGGGATATTCCGGCACTTTCTCCCACCGTCCCGCTGACTCAGACATCTGTGAAGCAGATTTCTGTGACAAGTTTAAAAGGACTTTGAAGAAGGAAAACCCAGAGGAATCTAGGACATCCACATCAATGCCCACCACCGCAGTCTATGAGCCAGACATACTGCTAAGCCGATCCCAAGGACATCCCTTGGGAAAACCCTACCAGCTCCAGGCCATGGGTGAGTGGTCGGTAGTGTGGGGTGGAAGAGGGAGGCAGGGGCCTGGGGTGGGTGAGTGACCACGGGTAAGTCACTTGCTCTCTGGGGCCTGTGTCCTCATCTGTAAAATGAGGCTGCCCATCTCACCAACAAGAGCCATCAGAACGCCCCTTATCAACTATGAAAGGCTGTGCAAGCAGGAAGAGGCTTTAGTGAACAAAGAGTCATGCAGTTGTCTCTCTGCCAGTAATTCACGGGACCAGGGGTGGACGAACGGGCACACAGGACGAATGGGCACACACGACGAACGGGCACACAGGACAAACAGGCACACAGGACGAACGGGCACACAGGACAAACAGGCACACAGGATGGGCACACAGGACGAACGGGCACAGAGGACGAACGGGCACACAGGACAAACGGGCACACAGGACAAATGGGCACACAGGACGAACCCAGTCTGCTTCCTGCTTTGGTACAGCCTGCAAGCTAAAAATGGCTTTTGTGTTTTTAAGTGGTTGGAAAAAAATACAAAAGACGACGGCCGGGCGTGGTGGCTCATGACGTCAAGAGATCAAGACCATCCTGGTCAACATGGTGAAGCCCCGTCTCTACTAAAAATACAAAAAATTAGCCGGACATGGTGGCGCGTGCCTGTAATCCCAGCTACTCAGGAGGCTGAGGCAGGAGAATTGCCTGAACCCAGGAGGCGGACTTTGCGATGAGCCGAGATCGTGCCATCGCACTCCAGCCTGGGTAACGAGCGAAACTCCGTCTCAAAAACAAAAAAAAAAAAAAAAAGGGAAGAACAAGAGTGCCAACCCCTGCCCGGGATTCCAGAGCCTGGTCCAGAAGGAAGGTGAACCCCAACTGCCTCACCTTTGCTCACCCTCCACCCTGCCACACCCCTCCCCCACTGCACACTGTGACCCCTTGTGGCCACACCCACGTCCCTGAAGGCTTGCAGGAACTCACTTCCTGTCGAACTCCTTGTACGCGCTCTGGAGCCAGCCCAGGGACGGCTTGTTCCGGCTGTTCAGCCCGTAGTGGAAATAGATAATGGTGTAATCATTCTCCACATACTGGTCCAGCATGTACTTCAAATACCTGGCACGACACGTAAGATGCAGTTATGAAAATCACCTGCTCACTGCTGAAACCAAATGTGCTTTCCCTATAACAGAAGCTGTGGTCACCCAGTGGGTGCCAGCACCAGGCCATGGGGAGACTCCACACGTCATGGGCCCTGGTCCTCATTTGTCGGATGACACCTGAGGCTCAGAGGGGTTAAGTGACTTACCTGAGGTCACACAGCTAGTAAGTGGATGTGGTAGGCCAAAAGGTGGGCTGTGGAAAGGCATCCATATCAAATCCGCAGAACCTGAGAATATGACCTTATCTAATGTGGGAAGTAGAAAAGTTCCTTTCTAAAGTTGCCTTTCTTGTTAAAGAATAAGTGTGCTAGGCTGGATGCGGTGGCTCAAGCCTGTAATCCCAGCACTTTGGGAGGCCGAGGCGGGTGGATCACGAAGTCAAGAGATCGAGACCATCCTGGTCAACATGGTGAAACCCCCTATCTACTAAAAATACAAAACATTAGCTGGGCACGGTGGTGCGTGCCTGTAATCCCAGCCACTCGGGAGGCTGAGGCAGGAGAATTGCTTGAACCCAGGAGGCGGAGGTTGCGGTGAGCCGAGATTGGGCCATTGCACTCCAGCCTGGGTAACAAGAGCAAAACTCCGTTTCAAAAAAAAAGAATAAATGTGCTAATAACCCTGTGAAGCCCTATCCCATGTAGCTGTGAGACACGCCATGCTTACAGGCACTTAGTACACTCTGTCCTCACACTTTACCCAAGATATCTGAGCTGGACGTGCTCACAGGTGTGTCCCAGCTCTCCACTGCTTTTACCTGTTTAGAAAAGTTGTAAGTTGTTAGCCAACCGGGTTTTAGCTTAGATTGTGAGGTCTGGCTCCAGCCAACGGAGATCAGACTCAGCAGTGAGGACGACCCCAAATGCGTAAGGAGTAAATTTGTGTGTTTCCCTTTGTTCTCTGTACTCTTGTGGCACGATGGCTACTGGGAGTACCCTTCCCGCAGTCCAGGAAGTAAAAACTGCGTTGCTGAAGGATCCTTTGTCTCGGTGCTGATTTTTCTGTGCGGCACCGAGCATGTACTTCCAACATCTGGGAAAAAGGTCTTTGCAGGTGCAATCAAATACAGGACCTTGAGAGGAGGAGCTCATCCTGGACTACCCAGGCAGACCTTCAGTGCAACCACAGGTGTCCTTATAAAGCGGACACGAAGATGAGTAGTCAGAAGGGAGAAGGTCACGGGAAGACGGAGGCAGAGCAGAGCGTGACGCAGCCACCAGCCATGGAAGGCCGAGGCCCACCAACAGCCTTTACAGGCGGAACACGCAAGGAACGGCTCCTCCCCTGCAGGGAGCGTGGCCCTGCCCACATCTGGATTCTGAACTTCTGGCCTCCAGAACTGTGAGAATACATTTCTGGTTTTACGCCACCACATTTGTGGTCGTGGTTACGGCAGGCCCAGGAAACTCACAGGGATGATGAGCTGGGATTCGAACCCCGGAATGCTTGACTGCTCAGCCCTTGCCGTTAACCCCAACACTACAGGCCCTTCCACCACAGATATCCTGCTGTTTGCTGCATTTCTGAGACAAGCAATTCCTTCTTTCCAGACGAGCTTCCGAACGTTTTGCTTTTCACTATAGAGGCAGAGTCTTGAGGCTGTGCTGTCAGCTGCCACCCCCTGTGGTGTGGGCTTACCCATTTCCCATGGGCCACTTTCCATCCTGCCCCCAACACCCAGGAAGGACTGTCTTAATGTCACCCAAGGGAAAGGACTTGCCTTGCCATCTGCAGGAGGAAGGGCTGCAGAAGGACCCCTAACCTCCCCATCAGCACTCTGCAGTGCCTGACATGGAGCTGGTCAGGTGATGATCCCTCAGCTCAGGTTGTCCAGGTTCTCACCTGGAGCACATCTTGTAATGAGTCCACCCAGGTGGCCCCGCTCTCTGAGCCTGTGGGAGGGGTGTTCTGCAGACAGATGCTCCCAGAACCGCCTTGAGAGAAAGGCCCAGGAGCCCGTGCCCATCTGCAAGATGGTTGGCTGGTCTTGCACTGCCTAGAACCCTGGACACCAAGGACGTCAGCTTCTCCTTTGTGCGTTTCATTTCTAAGCAACGTCAGAGTGCCCTCTGTCAAAAGCCCAAACCATCTGAACCGCAGGCCTTCTACACATTTGATTTCCCCAATGACCCTATGAGGCAGGTACTATTCTCTCCACCTTATAGACAAGACAACTGAGGCTCACAGAGGTGAATCGGCAGCGGGCAGAGCTGGGCTTCAAGCCAAGCCGCCTGGCTCTGCCGGCGTCTACACTGCCTTGTCTCTGAGAGCCGTGAGCTGCCATCCACGCCTGCTCCCGTCCCGTCGTCTGCTTTGATGTCGGGAAATGACACACGTCGGACCTCACACATGCCTGACTCCAGCTCACCCGCTGTGGAAGTAACTTTGACGCTCCTTCTGCAGCATGTCGTCTCGAGCGCCACGTGGGCTAAGCCACTGGGGCAACACTTCACTGAGGTCACCCTTCGTTGACTCGCTCTCTCAGAAGAACCCAGGTCGAGACTTCCACCCGAACGCAGAAGCGTGGAGGGTCCTTGAACCATGGAGAACTCCTCGTCGCGTCTCAGGAGAGCCACGTCTGCATTTCGCAAATGACTCTTTTTCAAGAAAGGGAAACTGAGGCCAGTGTCTTTGCACGGCTTATCTTCCCACGCCGGACACCTCCTCGTAAAAGCAGGCACCTTTCCTCTGGCCCTAGCGCTGGGCCCCCCTGGGGTGGCTTCTGTTTGACGCACTGAAATCCTCCGGGTGTCAAAGCATCTGTCCGCGTGCTCAGCACGGGAAGTCATTAACTAAATTACTAGTCGGGCTTCAAAGGCATGGACTTGTTTCTTCACCCACTTCAAAAATAGGAGCACGCATCTGGCCACAGGAAAGCCATCCAGTTGGAATGGATAGGGAGGATAACGCACGGGGTGTTTATTTTTTTCATTAAGGCCGCGGGGAAGGCTAGGCCTGATAGCTCTTCTTATCAAGGCCGAGAAGCCCACAGAGCACCGGTGCTCTCAAGAGCACAGCTCTTCCTGGATCTGGCATCCGTCTCTCCCTGTGTGCCTGGTAAACACCAAGGCGGGCTGCAGGCTGGCATCTGCTCCTCACTGGGGTGAGCAGCCCCGGGGAAGGCCAGCCTCATTGTCTGGGGTACCTGCACCAGGATCCCAGGTCACCCCATGAACCCTGCTGGTCTCACCGTGCAGCAGCAGCCCTGGTGGACGTCGCTCCTAGCACCTGCTCCCCACGAGGTCTACGGCAGTTTCAGCTGTGGTCGGAAGATTCTTGAACAGACCAGATGGAATGCTCAGATGGGGGGAAATCTCAAGAAATAACCAGCCCAAAGTCTTCCGGGTGCGTCTATGATCTGGTCGTGCCTTTGGGGATCTTGAGTTGGGGGTTCCAGGTCACAGCCTATTCCCCGCATCCCTTGGCTTTAACAGTTAGATGCTGGCATCTGGAAGTGGCAGCAGGCACAGCCTCCCCACCAGTGTCATGTCCCGCGCTGTCCCCAGCAGTGAGGGAGTCCTCGGCAGGCCAGGTCCCATCTCATAAGGGCACATCAACATTTCCAGGGACACCCAGAGATCGGCCAGGACTTGGCCTCAGGAATGAAGCTCAACAGGTTCACTGTCGGGGAGCAAATGCCAAGGCCCTCAGAACCTAACTTCCCTTCCCTAAGACGGAGCTTCTCCCCTGGGCCTGGGGGACTCTCACTAACCTGGACAGGGATTCCGGCAGAGGTGCTGCTCTTCCCATTTCTCCAACTCTCCCCCAGCAGCAGCTCGCTTGGGCCCAGGGGTTTCACCAGGAAGGCGGCTCAGTGGCTGCCTTATGAAGGCAATGTGGCCAGCACAGCAGACGCCAGCAACAAGGGACAGTCGAAAGAGAGTGCAGGGTGCCCAAGGCCATACACAGGTGAGGGTTGGGTGCGTCCTACCAAACAATGGAAAGTCAGTGCAGAAGGCGCAGGCAGGAGGCTCACGCGGCTTTGAGGAAGGTGATGGAGGGAGGGAAGGAAGTAGGCAGACCTAAGAGGGCCCGAGGCCCGGGCCAGAGCTTAAGACTGTGGACCCAAAGCCACCCTGGGCTGGAGAAGGCTCAGTCCTGCAGCTAGGTCTGGTGGCCTGGGGGTCACCTGACAGCCATCTGAGGCGCCATGAGTCAATCTACTTCAGGTTAGCCTTTCACCCTGAACACCCAGTCCGTGCCGAGCATGCAACTTAGTGATGGAGAAGTGTGTGCACCAGAGAGGGGTGTGTGCACAGGAGTGTGTGCACGGGAGGGGGTGCGTGCACAGAAGGGAGTGGGAGTGTATGCACAAGAGGGGGCATGTGCACGAGAGGAGTGTGTGCACAGGAGTGTGTGCATGGGAGGGGGTGTGTGCACAGAAGGGAGTGGGAGTGTATGCACAAGAGGGGGCATGTGCACAAGAGGAGTGTGCACAGGAGTGTGTGCATGGGAGGGGGTGTGTGCACAGAAGGTGGTGTATGCACGGGAGGGGGTGTGTGCACAGGAGGTGTGTGCACGGGAGGGGGTGTGTCCATAGGATGAGGGGGGTATGTGCACAGGTGGGGGTCCATGCACAAGAGAGGGGGCGCATGCATGGGAGGGGTGTGTGCACAGGATGGAGGTGCGTGCACGGGAGAGGGTGTGTGCACGGGAGGAGGTGTGTGCAAGGGATGGGGGTGTGTACACAGAAGGGGGTGTGTGCATAGGAGAGGGTGTATGCCCAAGGGGAGGTGTGTGCACGGGAGGGGCTGTGTGCATGAGAGGAGGTGTGTACATGGGATGGGCTGTGTGCATGGGAGGAGGTGTGTGCATGGGAGGGGCTGTGTACATGGGAGGGGCTGTGTGCATGGGAGGAGGTGTGTACATGGGAGGGGCTGTGTGCATGGGAGGAGGTGTGTACATGGGAGGGACTGTGTGCATGGGAGGAGGTGTGTACATGGTAGGGGCTCTGTGCATGGGATGAGGTGTATACATGGTACGGGTTGTCTGCATGGGAGGTGGTGTGTACATGGGAGGTACTGTGTGCATGGGAGAAGGCATGTACATGGTAGAGGCTGTGTGCATGGGAGGAGGTGCGAACATGTGAGGGGCTATGTGCATGGGAGGGGCTGTGTGCATGGGAGGAGGTGTGGACACGGCAGGGGCTGTGTGTGTGGGAGGAGATGTGAACATGGTAGGGGCTGTGTACATGGGAGGGGCTGTGTGCATGGGAGGAGGTGTGGACATGGTAGGGGCTGTGTGCGTGGGAGGAGGTGTGGACATGGTAGGGGCTGTGTGCGTGGGAGGAGGTGTGGACATGGGAGGGGCTGTGTGCGTGGGAGGAGGTGTGGACATGGTAGGAGCTGTGTGCATGGGAGGAGGTGTGGACATGGTAGGGGCTGTGTGCGTGGGAGGAGGTGTGGACATGGTAGGAGCTGTGTGCGTGGGAGGAGGTGTGGACATGGTAGGGGCTGTGTGCGTGGGAGGAGGTGTGGACATGGTAGGAGCTGTGTGCATGGGAGGAGGTGTGGACATGGGAGGGGCTGTGCATAGTGGTGGGGGTGGAGAGAGTACAGCCACAGTAGGGGACTGGCAGAGGAGCGGTCTGAGCACACGAGCGGACATGTGCAAGGGAGGATGTGTTTTGGGGTGCTGCATACAAAGGCTGGGGGTACAGAGGTGCAGGCCCAGGAGGGGTCATGGACAGGGAGAGGCCACAGGCAGCCTTGGTGGCTTTGAGGGCCCCTGTGCTCATCCCTTCGAAGGGCTCCGCTCAATGTGGCAGACGGTTCCTTGGCCAAGTTCGTCTGGGAGCTGCTGGAGACCCCCCCTTTCAATGTTCTTGACGCTTCTTGATGTGGCAAACCAACAACCTTGATTTTCTACAGTCCCCATTCCGTCCCAGCTGTGGAGCCCAGGCGCACCTCGGGAGCATTGGGTGTACACAAGGTACAGGGGTCCAGGCGCCCCTCACTCGGCACCTTCCATGTCCCGCCACCTTCTGACGCAGAGCCATTTCCTGGCCTTGCTTCTCGCACCCCAAATCACAGACTGAGGGATGATTTCCTCAGTTCACATGTGGGCTCTGAGACAGTGACTACCCAATGCCTCACATACAGTGGTGCTCAATAGATGTCTGTTGAGCCAATGATGGCGGCGGCGGCAGCAGGCCCTTGCCTTCGGTGCTGGGTCTGAATGCCACCCCGCAAAGTTCCACCCAGAACTTCAGATGTGACCTTACTCAGAAACAGGGTCTTTGCTGGTGCAGTCAGTTCAGATGAGGTATGATGGGATTAGGGTGGGCCTAGTCCAGCGGCTGGTGTCCTTATGAGGGAGGGAAATGGCCATGTGGAGATGCAGGCAAGGACAGGAATGACATGGCCACAAATCACCTGGGGACCCCTGGAGCTGGAAGAGGCCAGAAGCCCCCCTGCAGCCTCCAGGGGGAGTGCAGCCCTGCCGCTGCCCTGACCTTGGGGACTGGTGCCCCCAGAAGCGGGGAGGACCCGCTCAGAGCATTTTAAGCTGCCGGACTTGTGGCCATTTGGTACAGCAGCCATAGGAAACTCACACAGCTCTGAGGATGTTCCCGGAGAGAGGCCCAGGAGGTCTCAAAGGGAAATTGCGTGGGGGAGGCCTGGCGCTCTGCAGCCATCTCATCTGCAAGGTTGGCCAACACACAGGACCAGGGGACTGTCCCCAGCTCCAGAGGGAGGCACCCACAGCTCGGGTGGCTGAAAGGAAATCAATCACGGCTCCCACTGTGCTAATGAATGGGGCAGGGAAGCCAGGGACCGGGGTGGCCACAGCTGGCCCTCGGGCAGGCTCATGAGCACGGGGCTCTGCACACCAGCAAGTCACAAAGGAGGCCCCAGAACAGAGCAGGTGACTCAGAGGGATGTGGGGTGAAGGGATGGGGACAAGTGCCATGGAAAGACACAGGTGGAAAGGGAGGACACTCACTCCAGCAGCCGCTGGTGGTCCAGCTCGTGGGAAGGCGGCATCCGGCAGCAGCTGAACGTGACAACGCGTCGTCCAAAGCAGTCGTCCCCTGGAGGAGCAGACACAGGTGAGCCTCTGTGCCACCTTCTCCTAGAAAACCCTCAGGCACTTAGCAAAAAGCAGCCTCCTGGGCCAGCCCAGCCCGAGATGGGAGGCACAGGCAGCAGCTCAGTGAGCAGCCACCGCCCGTGGCTTTGTGCACGTGGCCCAAGTTCACCTTCCTGACCAGCCATACGCTGGAAATAATCCCCCCACTCTACAGATAGAAAACCGGGGCCCAGCAGCGTTAAGTCACCAGTGCAAAGCCAGCCAGCAGGCAGCACCAAGGGCTTAAATTGAGGCACAGCTGACCTCAAAGCCAGGGTGTGACCACCCTACCACCTCCTCCAACCCCCTACCCAGGACTCTGGGCCATGGTGGAGGCCAGCGTGGCCTGGGGGCAGTGGCTTCTGGGCATGACCCCATGTCGGGTACAGGAGCCCTCTCAGGAACGCAGATGCTCAGTCCTGCCCTCCATCACGACCCGGGTCACCCTGTACTGCGATGGTCTCTTGACACGTCTGTGCCCACCCTACATAGACAGCTGCGGGGAGGGGTCCCCCCTGAGAGCTGGGACTGGGTCTGCTCATCTCTGTCCCCAGAACCCAGGCTCCAGGCCAGGCGCTTAGCGAGATTAAAAAGACAGAACAGACTCCTGAAGGAGAGGGCCCTGCAGACCACCCTCCCTGCCTGCAGACACTGCTGCCCCTCCTCTCCCAGCCCCCCACCCCACCCTGCCCCCCCACGAGTGGCCAGAAGGCTGGAGACCCCATGGTTCATACCTTCCCCCTGTCTCTGCCCATGGCCCTGAGACAGAGGGGCCCCTGCATGCAGGACACCCTGTAAAAAGCTCCAGCAGCGACTCAGGCACAGTCTGATGTCACCGCCCATGTCCCCCGCTCCCTCCACTCCGGATTCTCAGCACTTTCCCATTCCACAGCCACAGCTCGGAGACAGAGAACAGAAGGGCTGCCCCGATTCCCAGCACCCACGGCTTCATTACAATTAAACACACCAAGACACAGGTAAGAACAGCCTGCACACGACACCTGCCAAGGGTAAAACTGGGGCACAAGAGGGTGCAGGCAGTGCGGGGGGAGCCCAGCTCCACATCAGGTTGTCATGAGGAGTGGGGAACATGGAGATCTCTCCACTGCTGGTCCAAGAGGCCCCCCAGATCTGCCCCCACCGGCCTCCTCCCTGCCCCCAGGGACCTGGCGCAGCTTCCTTCCTTCAATTCTTCAAGAGCACCCTCCTGCCTGGGCTTTCAGCTAGAATGTCCCCTGGCCTCCTTCCTGACTCTACACCCCTTCTAGCTACACCCCACCTCTGCAGGAAGGCTATTTCCCCCCACCCCATCCACAGCGCCCCCAGGCGATGTGCACATGCGAGCAGCTCCTCTGGCCATGGGCTCATTCCAAGGACACACTCTGAGAAGAGTTGCAAAGACTTTTTTTCCTTGAGAGGGTCTTGTGATGTCACCAAGCTGGAATGCAGTGGCATGATCACAGCTCACTGCAGCCTGGACCTTCAGGCTCAAGTCATCCTCCCACCTCAGGCTCTTGAGTCGCTGGGATTAGAGGCTCATGCCACCACATCATGAACTTCAATCGCCATGGTGCAGGCCCAGGAGGGGTAATGGACAGGGAGAGACCACATGCAGCCTTGATGGCGCCGAGGACCCCTGGGCTCATCCCTTCAAAGGGCTCTGCTCAGTGCAGGAAAGGTTCCTCGGCCCATGTTCCATGGCCGGCGCAGGTGCTGGGTGCTATGCAGTGACCGAGGCCTGGGCTTCTGTGAGGGTGCTCATCTCCCAGGGGACCCCAGTGTGCCCAGGGTGGGGGCTTCAGATGGGAAGCCCGGAGGGTACACACCCTCCTCCTAGCACTTGCTGCTCCCTCTTCCTTTCCTCACACAGAAGGGGGAAGACCAAGCCTGTGTCTTCCAGGACGAGAGCATTCCCATTTTAAGAAGTCCAGCCCCTCAGTGGCACCTGTTCCAGGTGTCCAGCAGTCATGCACGGTGAGGGGCTGCCCTGGACAAGGTAGGGATGGTGTGTGTCCAGTCCACAGAACATTCCACTGGGCAGCACTGACCTTGAGGGGCAGGTTAGGGTGTGGACCTCAGGGAAGGGGCCACAGGGCTGCTGAGTCTGCCTCTAACCCTGTGTAGTGTGGGAAGAGAGCCCCAGCCCTCCCTAAAAGAAAATGCAAGTCCTCCTGAACCCTCAGAATGTGACACTGGAAACAGGGTTGCTGCAGATCTAATTAGCTAAAGATCAAGAGAAGATTATCCTGGATTTAGGATACGCTTCGAATCCAATGGCTGGGAGGACGCGGCGGCTCACGCCTGCGATCCCAGCACTGTGGGAGGCCAAGGTGAGAGGATCACTTGAGCCCAGTCGCTCAAAATCAGCCTGGAAAACAATGAGATCTTCTTCGTCTCTAAAAAATATTTTTTTTAATTAGCCAGGTGTGGTGGCAGGTAGCTCTAGTCCCAGCTACTCAGGAGGCTGTGGTGGGAGGATGGCTTGAGGCTGGGAGGGCGAGGCTGCAGTGAGCTGTGATCGCGCCACTGCACTCCAGCCTGGGTGACATCACGAGACCCTGTCTCAGGAAAACAAACAGTCTTTACAACTGTTCTCAGAGCATGTCCTTGGAATGAGAAGGGACGGCGGCACAGCTTTCTCAGCCCTCAGCTCTGCAAGGTCACGAATCAAGATGCCACATGTGGCCCATGCCTGTAATCCTAGCACTTTGGGAGGCTGAGGCGGAGGGCTCACTTGAGCTCAGGAATTGGAGGCTACAGCGAGCTAGGATCACGCCACTACACCAGCGTGGGCAACAGAGACTGACCCTGTCTCCTGAAAAAAATAGTACAATTCTGGAGCCGGGCACGGTGGCTCACGCCTATAATCCCAGCACTTTGGGAGGCCGGGGAGGGTGGATCACGAGGTCAAGAGATCGAGACCATCCTGGTCAACATGGTGAAAACCGGTCTCTACTAAAAATACAAAAAATTAGCTGGGCATGGTGGTGCGCGCCTGTAATCCCAGCTACTCGGGAGGCTGAGGCAGAAGAATTGCCTGAACCCAGGAGGCGGAGGTTGCGGTGAGCCGAGATCGCGTCATCGCACTCCAGCCTGGGTAACAGGAGCAAAACTCCGTCTCAAAAAAAAAAAAAAAAAAATTACAATTCTGTGTGCACACATATACCCACATGCACACTGGCATGAGTGTACACACACACACACACACACACACGCACAGTGTGTGAACTCTGATGTCCCTGCCCTCGCTGCCTGGCTAGGGGGCTGTTTTTTATTTAGGCCACGCATCTGATTCTTCCCGGCAGCCTGGAAGCTACTCTGAGGTTTGGAATCCTGGAGCAATTTCACAGCTTCGGAATGCAGTATCCCCTTCATTTCACAGTTCCTTAAGAATTCTGGGCACGCTTTCCATGTGTTTAGAAAGCCTCTGTTTTAAAGGGCTGCACTGCAAGCCACACTTTTCTTTGCTTCCCTTGCCAACTGGGAGTGTTCAGGCACAGAATCTCCAATGGCTATCTATGCCTGAAAGTAGAATGTTTTCCAGGGGAACCTGTGCCCTCCTCCTGTAGGACAAAAGGGGAAATAACAACTTTGCTCCTCACCTTATGAATCATTTATATGGTGACTAAGAAACAAGGAGTCAAATCAATGCCTAACTTTTGGGTTGAAAGTTAACACCAGCATCAAAAATTTTTTAAAAAGACTGGGCACAGTGGACCCAGCAAATTATCAAACATGAGGGGGTCATGGGAACCCCTAGGTTTGTAGCCAGATGCATGGGTGGCATTCTCTTGGGGGTGCCCCCACCATGTGAAGGGCAGTCTAACCCCAGATAAAAGCCGGTGCAGACTTAAATGATGGGTGTGGCTTGCGGGGCTGGGCATAGACCTCCCACTTCTCCCGGACTCGGGCCTGGCAGGGGCTCTGCCTCATCTTTTCTATCCAGAGCTGAGGGCACAGTGGGCCCTCTACAATGCTGGCTGAGTTGATCTTCCATTGGTCAAATTACCTACCACGTGTGAAGTTGCTAACACCTGCAGAAGTGGAAGGAGAGCCGAAGTCCCCTTTAGGTCTGCATGCTGTGGGAAGCCAAGCCAGCAATGGAACGGGCTGCTCCTCACGAGCCTCCTGCTTGCATCCAGTGCTGACTCATCCATTCAGTGAGCACTTACGGAGCACCCACTGTTTGCAGCGCTCACAACCTTGCAGGATACTGAGCTCTGAAAGTGAAGTGCCACTGAAGGCTTTTTACTCCCTCCAAAACCAGAAGGGCAACTAATTCAGCATTTCATTTTCATACCAACAGATTTCTTCTTGTTTTTCTTCTTGTAGAGACAGATTTTGGCTGTGTCACCCAGGCTGGAGTGCAGCGGCATGGTCACAGCTCACTGCAGCCTTGACCTCCTGGGCTCAAACCATCCTCCTGCCTCAGCCTCCCAAGTAGCTGGGATTACAGGCACGAACCACAGCACCTGGATCGTATCAACAGACGTCTAAACGTCCTTCCAAGCAAACATCGCAGCACTATGCAGATCTGACAAACGCATGAAGCTTACAGCAGGTGCCGCAGTGAAGCTGGGTTCCGTATACTATTATTTCTACATTTGAGGCATTTGAAAATTTCCAAAATAAAGTTTATTTACTTATTTTCTCTGAGACAAAGTCCTGCTCTGTCGCCCAGGCTGGAGTGCAGTGGCGCGATCTCAGCTCACTGCAACCTCCATCTCCTGGGTTCAAGCAATTCTCCTGCATCAGCCTCCCCAGTAGCTGGGACTAACAGGTGCACACCACCACACCTGGTTACTTTTTCGTATTTTTAGTAGAGACGAGGTTTCGCCATGTTGGCCAGACTGGTCTCAAACTCGTGACCTCGTGATCCACCTGCCTCGGCCTCCCAAAGTACTGAGATTACAGGCGTGATCCACCATGCTCAGCCAGTAAAAACTTTAAAAAGAGGGAGAG